CTATTTTGAGCTCTTATCGCTTTTATTACGGCTTGAAAGTAATAAAAATTAAGCACAAGTGATTCAGTTGCCAGAAACAACAACAAAATGAAAATAATACAAGCCAACGAACTAAATATGTATGGTTCTCTGTCTGGTTGATGGTTGATCGGTGAAATGAAGGAACACGTTAACTGCCATTAGCGCAATAAAAGCATAAATCTTATTATTAGAAGTCACTAATCTGTATGAAGATATACGAAATGAAATGAACTATAACAATACATGTATTCATATTCATATATATATATATATATGTATATATGTATGTATCTATTATACCGATTTTTTACACAGTCATTAGGATTACATATATATGTATGCATGTAAGTTATATATGGTCCTTAAGCGATTTAGGAGCACTGAAATATTATTTTTTTAACTGTGCAAAATCAAATATATGCTTAATAGCCATTTAAGCGCAGTCATAAAACAACAACAACAACAACAATAACAATAACAGCAAAACAAAACTATGCAACCAATTAGTAGTCTGGCAATGTTGGCTTGCATTTTCCTTTTTCTTTTTTGTTTTTGGGCTTTGTACGCACCGATTTAAGGATTAGCAAATATTTACTCAGGGAGAACCCGCATGTGGTAATAACCATAAAAAGTTAACAGAAATAATTGTGGTAGACTGAGAAGGTGAGGAATAAAGAAAAAAAAGGAAAAAAGCACAACAGAATTTATGAATTTTTTCGCACAAAATACATTAAGAATTTGGAACAGAAAAATTAAAGTCAATAACATAATATTATATGAAAAAAATATGCAAAAATAATATTAAAATAAAATAAAAAAATAAAATAAAATAAATTAAATTTAATCCAAATTTAATCAAAAAGCAGTGGTTAGCATCCAAAGGTTATAGAAAATTAATTTAAATAGAAAATTAAATTTTTCTAATTGCGGTCGCCCCTCGGCAGGGAATGCCAACCCCTCCGAGTGTATTTCTGACGTGAAAATCAAAAGCTCCTCATAAAAAACATTAGCCGTTCCGAAGCGACTTAGTATAAACTGTAGGTGGCTCAATTTGTTGGAAAAATTTCAAGACGCAAAACCACAAATTGGAGAAGGAGCCATTTATATATATATATATATATAAATTTTTATTAAAAACAAATAAATTTAAATAAAAATATTAAATCAAATAACTTAAAATGAGATTAAAACAAAATAAATTAAAAGCAAAATATATTAAATTAATTAAATTAAAATAAAGAAAATCGTTTCAACGTAACAAAAGGCTAATGAGAAAAGTAAAATAATATAAAATGAAATAAAATAAAATAAAAAAATTACAGAAATAGTGAAATAGAAATAGAGAATATTAAAATATAAAATAAAACAAAAATCGATATAAAATAAAAAATAAAATAAAATTTAATTGAAGTAAAACTTGATTTCAAATGCTATTACAACAATTTGTAAAGTTAAATAAAATGCAGTAAACCAAATTAAAATGAAATAAAATGCAAATAAATGATATAAACTAAAAAATAAAAAATGCAATAAAATAATATAAATTAAAATATAATAAAATGAAATACAATAAATTATATTAAAATAAAATAAATAAAAACTAAATAAATAAAAAATTTAATTAAATTAAAATAAAAATAATTAAAATGGAATAAATTAAAATAAAGCTAAATGCAATGAAAAAATAAAACAAACTAAAATAAAATATAGTTAAATAAAAATAAAAAGACTAAGAATTACTGCAAAAGAAAATAAAAAATAGTAGAGGAAAATAAATGTAAAAATAAATCTAAATAATTAAAACAAATATATAATAAAGGAAATAAAGTAAACTGAAATAAAATGAAATGAAGTTATATGAAGGTAAACTATTGAAAAAAAATTTTTTATATATATAGCATAATGTGAAATAATTATTTTTAGTACACAAATGAAAAACTCAATTAGCCATTTAAAAATTATGAAAAATTATGAAAAAAATTACATGAAAATTTAAATTTAAATATGCTGGGAAAAAATATATCTATATATATATTAATATGCATATATATGTCAGAAATTAAGCTATTAGGCAAAGAACAAATAAATTTTCAAGCTTAATGGAGTCATGTTTACAGTTGTATTTTTAATGGAATCACAGCATGTAGAGTGAAAAACAGTTAAAAAGAGCAAAAAAAATAAGAAATATAACAAAAAACAAAAACATTTACATATAAACCAACGTGAGCAAAGTCAATTGACCGCATGACTGACTAAGTGAATGCGTGAGAAAAAATTGAACAATCAAAGCAATGCGTTAAAATCGAATGTTGTACAAAGAAAAAACAACAACAACAAACGATGAAAAATGACCGCCGATTACAAATTGACAGGCCTGATTTGTTATAAGTTCCTGCTTGCACCACTTTAGGTATGCCTACGTACATACATTGTGGGTGGTACATATACATATACAGCAATAACAACAACATTGCCGAAAAATTCAAGCAGTGCGACGTTAAAAGCATAAAACCAACACGTTATGTATACACATACATATATATGTATGTATGTATGCATGCATGTACATATACGTACATAGTATGAGAACTCTTTTATATGAGTGTAGACAGTAAGTAAGTATGTCGAAAAAAGGTTAAGTCAGAATTGTCGATCATTTGTTAAGTAAACAAAGAAACGACATTACGCGCATTCAAAGATAACCTCCCTCTCCCTGTCCGGTCTACGACTCATTAATTGGAGGTTATGTGGTTTCAATCTGATTTTAGGCTCAACAGGGGTGGCAAGCACCAATCATTAGGAAGACTAATTGCACCAAAGTCAATAAATTACGCACATACAATCTTACATATGAACACATACTAGTTTTATGTAGATAAATGATTGTAACACCTCTTAAATAGGCTGTATATCCTACCATGGGGTGCACATACATATGTATATGTATGTGTTTTAATTGAGTGACTTACTTATACGTGTTTAATACATACATATGTATGTATGTATAAGGCTCGATTATTTACCTACTAAACATGCTTGTTAACAAAATTGTGAGATTCTTATCAAAAGCTCCAGGTTGATTGAATAATAGCCGTAACAAATACATACATATGTACATATATTGGTAGGCGAAAATTTTTCGATCAAACACAAATGTAAACCGACAGCTCTAATCAATGCCCGCCACAAATTGGTGGTTAAATCAACCAGAATGAGGTTTTTGTTGGCCTTTTTGTTTAATTTCATCACATAGATTAGGTGAATCCTTGGCATTGTTTGGCATAGGTGTTGAAAGGGGACCAAAATGGTAACAATAGACTTGTCAAAGGTGTTGCATCAAAGCAATTGTGTTATAGAAAATTGACAATTAAAATAAGTCCACCATTGTATGTGAAAAGAAAGCTGCTTAACTCTCTACCACGCACTGTTCTTCGTTGTTTTCGTGGATACCAGAAGAATACAAGGCAAATTTATATACAAGATAATTCACATTCACAGCGTTCAATGCGTAGTTATGTCCCACGGAAAACGAGACTGTTGACCTAAACGGCTTTAAGTCGTCGAAATAAAGCCGAAAAAATACATCTCCGCCAACGCCATTGAACGAGATTTCCTCAACACTTTCCTGAACTCTTTTCCATTGGATGGCGTTCTCGGAGTCAAGCCAACCGCGCACAACTGTAACTACTCCTTTGCATTCCCCTTGAAACCAACTAATCTAACCCCCCCTCTCCTCTTGGTCCAAATCCGTCGAAACAGCTCATTTCCTGGCCCTTTATATCCATATCTGTAAATGCTGAAATGTAAGGTCTTACCAAAGCAGCCGTATTGTGATTACAAAATTATACATCTCAGTCTCGTTTTTTAAGTATTTAATCTTATGCACTAATTTTAAACAAAATTTACTTAAAAAGGTAGAAAAGGACATCAAAACATGCCAGGGAACTGCGAAAATTGGGAATTACGGTAAACAGCACATGAACTGGACAAACGGCGTGCAATGTGTTAAGACAAATCTGGTTATTGCTCGAGGTAAACGGAATTTAGTCTTTACTCCATCTTAGCCCAAAGTCTGAGGACAACCGCTTCTAGCCACCAAAGTTGATCCAGATTTCATCTAGCCAAGATCCATCCCCCTTTCGACAAACTAACCACGTTTAGGTCAGCGGGAAAGTCTCTCTATTCACAACGTGTAAGCGTTTGGTCCGGTTTATGCTCCGGCGGGCTCATTGGACCTTACTTTTGCGAAAATGAGGCTGGAGCAACAGTTACGGTGAATGGATTGCGCTATCGAAAGAGTATCAATATTTTTTATGGTCGTAGTGGGATGGTATTGAACGGACCAGCATTTACTTTCAATAAGACGTGCCATACAAGCAACGAAACCATCAATCTCTTACACGAAAGTTTCCGGACCGCGTAATCTCTCGGAGAGGTGATCGCAATTGACCACCGAGATCTTGTGTTTTAACACCTTGCGACTGCTTCCTTTGAGGCCGCGTAGATCCAACAGGTTAACAGCGATTCAAGACTTCAGGAAGGAGTGCACAAAGATGGAATTCGTGAAGCTTTTGAGGGCAGCTACTTTGTGATTTAGTAATGGAAAATTGTTTTCCATTATTAATGGCATATCTTTCTCCCTCTGAATTGAAATAAAAAGTATATTTTTCCTTTGAATATCAAAAAATTACTTATTGGAAAACCCTGTACACATCTGTAGGCCCACGCCAATAGTTTATAACTGCAGATGCAATCCACAAGGAAATTCAATGTACAAATTTCAAAACAAAACAAGCTTACATAAGAGTCTGCACAGAGTTCGTTACCGGCGTATAAGCAACAAATTTGCAAAAGCGAAACTTCCAAAAAAACATTGTAAATAATACATTTACACCGCTAAGCCTGAATGGGTAAAGTGTATATTTGAAAAATAAATAAAAAAAAGTTAAAAAAATCGAAAACATTACAATGAAACTCACCCGTAGTTGCCAAATTTCCATCTCCTGCAATATATTCTCCATGTTGTCGCTATTTTGTCCCTCCGCGTTGTTGTTTGGCGCACCAACCGCATTTTGATTTGTTTCGGATTTTTTCACACGCGTTGCTGCTGCTACACGCGCACCTTGCCCATAGATCGATCGATCGTCTGCAACATCATCACCATTTGTGGCGGCGACGGTGACGGCGGTGACGGCGGTGGCAGCAGCAGCAGCACCAACACTAATTGGGTCATTGAGTTTTTCTTCACAGGTGGGAGCGCCACCATCACTGCACAAACCTGTTGTCTTATTGTTTGTATTGCTGCTGGTGCCCGATGCTGCTGCGGCAGCAGCAATAGACGCGGCAATGGTGCGATAACAACGTTTTGGTGTATTCGTACCAGCATTGTCATCGATCTTGGTTGAAACATTGGTTTTTGTGGCATCTGACAGGTCCACAACAGCTGTCGCTGTTTTATGCATGATTTCTCCATCGGTATTATTTGGATTATCATCGGCAAGAATATCAACAACACTGGACGTTAACTTTTCATTCTCATCGATCACACTTGTCGCCATATTATCAGCATTCATATTTACAGAGACGTCGACCTCCGAGGAGTCAACATTATCAGCCGCCACCGGCGCAGCACTAGTTGATGTAGTTGATGCTTTCGGAAAGAGATCATAGAGCGTGACATTGGGTTTGCCACAACAGCGACACAATTCCAACTCATTCAGTTCACAATTATCGTCTTCCGCTGCCAATACTGTTGTTTTGGTGGGCTGTCGCTGTGATTGTGACTGTGACTGTGACTGTGCCTTAATAATGCTTGTGTTATCAGTGTGAGTTATAGTGCCGGCAGTCTCGTTGCCGGCACGTTTGCTCTTTGGGGTTGCCGTATCTGTCATTGGAACGTCGGCGCTGGTCTCAGCAGCGATGTTTATACTAAATTTTGTTTTTACTGTTGGCTCTGTTGATGATTGTGTTGTTGTTTCTGTTGCTGTTGTTGTTGTAGCATTATCTGCCGTTGCAATATTGTTTGTTTTATTAGCATTACCCATTGCCGAAGCTGCTACTGCTGCTAATGTTTTTGTTGTTGTTGTTGTTGTTGTTGTTGTTGTTGTTGTTTTTGTTGTTTGCTTTGTAGCTGCTACTGCCCTTTCTGTTTCTGTTTTTGTCTCTGCTTTTGTTTTTGTTTTTGTTTCAGCTTTAATTTCAGTCTCAGATTTCATTATTATTCCTTTTATTGGCGCTCCATTCCGCTGCTCCTCTTGATCATGTTGCGACCGCTGTTGTATTGATTGTGGCTGCTCATAAACGACAACGTCTTCACATTGCACATTATTGTCCCTTTCGTGGAATTCATCGGTGGCATCAACAATGACCGTTGAGTTTATTACGCTTAACTTTTGTATTGTTGTCGCTGTTGCTGTTGCTGTTGCTGTTGCTGTTGCTTTACTAGCACATAAAGTAGTTGTAGTTTTTATGGTTGCAGTCGTTGTTGCTGCAGTAGCCACGATCGCGTATGTCGTTGAGGCTCCCTCGGCTAAAATCGTGGTATTGGGTGCGCCGTCAACGCTGTTCATTTCTGTTACCGTCGACGTTTTTGTTCGCTTGCTGCTTCGTGTTCGCTCAGTTAGGCGGTTGTTTATTGTAATTTTGGTTGGCTTTTCGCATGAAAATACAAATTTACACACAAACACAGACACAGACACATACACATACAGTGATTATTTCTTTAATTGGTGATTTTTTTGTTTATTTTGATTTTATATTAATGTTGTTGTTGTTTTTGACAACAAGCGCTATGTATGGTATTACTTTTATTATTCACTCTCCGTTTTTTTTGGTTATTTACCGTAAATTCACGTTTTATTGTAATTTATTTTTATTTATTAATTTTTTTTTGAATTTTTGACTTCCCTCTTGTGCATCGCCAACGAGTAGAGCTACATACAATGTTGAAGACACGTCGATCGCAATAGTTGCCTGCAATGCTGAATGTGGCGTAGCAGAGGCGAATAAATTTAATGAAACTTAATTTTTTCTACGTACAAACAATACATACATATACGTATATATGTATATATATATATTTGTATATTTTTTATGCGTTCTCTTTAAGCTCGCTCAAACATATGTACATATGTCTCTATTAATATATGTATGTATGTATACCTCTATATTGTTTTATGATTTTTGCTTTCTCATTTGAATATCTTTTTCATTCATTTATTTATGTATTTATTTATTTATTTATTCACTTCACTTAAGCACATCTCTGCAATATTTTGTAAACGCTCCTTTTATTAACTTAGTCGTTGTTGTTGTTGTTGCAAAAATCTGCAAATAAATTAAAAAAAAAAAAAGTTTATGAAAAAAATTGTTATTAATGAGTGACTCCACACAGTGGTGCATGCATACATACATACAAAGGCACATATACATACATACATACGTATGTATGTACACCAGGCAGGTAATACAATGTAATTGTGCTTGCACACGCTTAACATAAACATAAAAAAATTAAAAAAAAAAAAAAAAAATTGTGTAAAAAATTATAAAGTAAATGACAAAAAAGCGATAAGATAAATACATAAATACTCATGCATGGCAATCTCGCGGGACCATAGGGTATGAGAATCGATAAATCGAATCGGTTGAGTGGAAATAAAAACGCTGGAATGCGCACAAGTGACAGGTAAGCGGTCAGTCAGGTCGATTAAGTGGCGTTGGCGACAAATCAGGCAGGCCGACAGGCAGCCAGGCTGGTTTTTATGCTCGAAGACGATGCTGTGCGCGCTCTGCACTGCACTGCACTGTGGTATGAAAAGCCAGTAAGGGTCGCACGCCTCTTTTTTTTTTTTTTGTTTGTCATAAAAATTAGTTCAAGTTTAGCCTAACGGTTAAATATCAAAAAAAAAAATGCAAGAAGCATTGGTTTCAAATCTAGGTACGGCCACTAATCTCAGATACAAACATACATACTTGTATGCTTTGGAGCTAAGTCATCGAGGGCATGTAACGTGGGATACAGGAAGCAAGTTGTTTAAGTTAGTTTAAGAGGTTTTAGGCGGCATCCAAAAATAATTGCTGGTATCGTGCAGGTTTGTTGTTTTTGTAGCCGAAAAAAAAAAAATTCCCCAAAGCAACTTTTGGTGAATATTACGTAAGTGGCTTCTCACGCATGGGTCTCATTACATGTAGGCCATACGTGAGATAGATCAGAGTCAAGTCTAGATATGTAGGCACTTAATTGTGGCAGTATTATTTGGGTCCCTGGAGGCAGCTCGAGCTAATTATTTGCAATGAGTGTTCCTGGCATTCCGAGGAGGCCGGCAAATGGCATTTAATGTTTATCGGTACGCCATCCTATTAAGTGGTTCTTGTCTGTGGTTCGGAAAGGAGTATGTTTAGTCTAGTACTTCCGGATTTGTCTAGTTAAACATTCAACCTCAAGTGATGCTCCGCTGACATCAGTTGCAGACGCGGGCGCAGTGAAAGAATGTAGGCTGTCGATTATGACTTCCAGTAACTCGAGTTGGAATTTTCACGCCATCGACTTTCCTTCCAGTGGATGAAAAGGGTAGCCGGGGATTAGGTGGTGGGCAGTTATTAAAGGGAAAAAGTCGACGAGGTAGCAGTTTACTTTGGAACATAAGTCAGCAATATCCTGACCACCCACCAATATCGACATATGAGATCGATGAAACACCCTCCATAAGTAAACAGCAATGGGAACCACCTTGCAGAGCCCCTCGCTCAATCCTAACAAGTTTAGAAACCCCACCTATGAGTATTGACCACATAACTTGCCTATGCTCCACCTCCTCAAGTCCGACGGTAATGCGATAGTAGCACTGAATGGTTGAGAGAGTGAAATGGTTTAACAGTTACAGTACTATCGGGACGATCTGAGCATAGGTCTAGTTTTGGTTGAGGTCATGTACTATCTGGGTGTTTATGACGTTAATTGCAATTGTGGTGCTGTACACTTTTGGGATGTCATGTTGATGTGCTAATGGGTTCAGATAGATGGTAGCAGCAAGGAAGACCTCAATTGTCTGTGGTACTGAGGAGAGGATTCAATAAGATTCTTGCCGGATATTGACTGGTTTTTACCGGCTTGAGTAGCGAGATCACTATTACTATATCCGCTATTGTTAGAGACATTAAAAGTAAATTGGGAAAATCTCAAAGCTAGTGTTAGCTGGAACAAGCTTATTCTTTCAGGGACGATGAATTTGGAGGCTTTCGCGTTCTCTAAAATCTCCCGGACATCATCTTACCTGGAGAAATCAAGCGCGGTTTTGGTTTGTGTTTGGCAGTTTGCATTTTCTTTTTGTTTTAGTTCTAAACACCAGCTGTTGTTGGCTAAGGAAATAAGTACTTAAAACAAGCAAAAATTTCGAATTTCCGCAAATAGACGGTTATATATTTTGCTGTTTCGAAAATAAACGTAAGTAAAATGCATTTAAAATATTTCTTTTTTCGAAATTCAAATTTTAATCATAAATTTTCAACCCTGCGATTACAATATGTGAAAGACTATGTCTTTCAAATGGCGGCCACATGAATTTTTGCAAACTTTGAGCCGTTTGAGGTAACTTTTGACCACTTGTTGGCACGTATTGGACAGTGTATCAGCCATAACTTGCTGAACTCTGATTATCAAGTGATCAAGAGTTAAAAGAGTTTCGATGGCTAATCGGTGGTCAAGACGAGAGATTATGCGGACGGGAAATTTATTTAATACTTACTATATGTTTCCAAGGGTTTTTTTCTGGTCAAATACGCAATAATATAAACTTTTGAGTACAATAAAACTAAACAATTTAAATAATTAAAAAATTATTATAAATAAATAACATATTATATCATCATCATTAATTAACGCCGTACTTTTCCCATAAACGTAATTAATTTGATTTTGCTTTACACATATTAGATATTTATTTTACATTTAATTAACAATTTTAAGCAAATTACATACCTTACTAACCTATTAAACGCTTTTATGTGCCCACTCAGTATTTGTTTGACACTTGTGAGTATGTAATTCATTATGAATTTGCTTTAAAATTAAATTATAAACGAATTTGTGTGTATGTTTTTCGCTCTATCATTTATTTGCACACATAATAGCATATAGAAATGTACATACGTACCGAACAAACACAATTTTAAATAAATTATAAACAGCAACACGCTCAACTAGCCTTATTATTATCGCGTAAAATTAAGAATTATTTCAAACATACAGTCTCTTATCGCCACTGATGGTTGTTTTAAGATTACAATCATGCTAATATACATACTTTCATATTATATTTATATACCATTGTACATACATACATACATACATACATACATACATACCTATATAAATACGAAATATAAATATATGATTCTATACTCAGTTATCGACACTGCTGTTTGTTGATTTTTATTTTAATTTATTTTTTTTTTGTTTGCCCTTTTTACTGATAACAGTATATTTGATGTTATTATTTCACAACACCGACGGCATACACAACAGACTTAAATGACAGACACACACATACACATACATACATGCATATGTAGGTACACGATTATTCATTCATAACTGTGACGACCACGAAATTACCCATTGTACCTACAAAGAATTCAACCAAATGTATTTGACGCACGAAGAGCAGACTATATGCTAAGCCGGAGCTGATACAATGATACAATCCCTATCTTCTAGATAGCTGACGGAACGAAGGGACTAGATACAATGTATGTGGCATCAGCTTTACCATGAGCAATATCAGCAGGAACAATAGGTATATACCAATATACCTACCTACATACACCGGTCAAAGATGCGGAATGTTATGCATATGTATGTGCATATGTATGTTTATAGTATGATTGGTCATTGCTTTTGTCTTCTTAGTGCTGTTGTGTGCTGTTAAATATACTATGAATGGGTAGAGAGAATAATTTTAATTTTCATTTATACTTTTAAGCCCATTAAAATGTAGATATGTACATATGTATGTATGTATATACATACATGTAGTTTGAAATATGCGACCCTAAAAGAAAATGCGCACTGTGCACTTGATGCACATTCTGAGCTGACATACATACATATGAATATGTGCATGTGTATGTATGTATGTAGAGATACGTGTGAAATTCCTTACAAGTCTCGGCTGATTGCCAAACTATGCGCTTAGCATATACAATTTATATACACACATACATAGACACATACATACCTACATAAATGGCCAATAAAATACTTTCTTCCAAGTACTTTCAAAACTGTTGCTTACACCCGAAGGTTGTTAGTATAACCAACACGTTCACGCTTAACGTCACAAAACGTTTTGACAGCTTACGTTCTACATACTGTCTATTGTATATGTAGATATGTAAAAGCACAAAATGATGTCACTCACGCAGAGATTCACCATCATAATCAAACCGAAACACTGGATATATTAAAAATTTTATACACATACATACATAGCATTACTTCATGGATTGCGTACAGGCTAGCATGCCACCACCGACTGCTATCAAAACGAAAGCGTAACACAAAAACAAAACCTAAAAAAAATAAAGTCTTCAACACTTTGTTGCTTTATTTGTGATAGGGGTGGGTATTGTAAGCAGCGGCGTCAGCGAAATTAGAGCCTACGGAAAATATATACATACATATGAAAATCACTAAAAAAAATATTAGAGATGTACGCACATATACATATGCATATGTAGGTACATTTGTATTTCTGTATATATGTACATACATGTGACGTTTTTTATGTATGTATATGTCCATATGTCCGTCTACGTGTGCTATTAACAACATTCACTTACGTTGCAGCCCAAAATAGTAGTGGTTTTGTTAGGCGCTGCTGCATTGCTTGACACTTTTTAGGCCGGACTTTTGTCATTAAATGAGCTGACAGCGTTGGTGTGGTGCCGTTGACCCCAAAAAAGCCGTTGTACGTACGTCTATATATAAATGGTATGATGTTTACAAATAAGTACATACATATGTAAGTTTGTTTATTTACGTAGCAGCAAGTGGCGAGCATCTAAACATAAAAATAAA